GTTTAACCGTTTCATGGATATGTACGGAAGTATGTTTTTCACTGAAGAAGTTTTGGAAATAGCAGAAGATATTGAAGAAAAGAAAAGAAAAATCGCAGAATTATCTTCAGACAGCGACGACGAAAAAGAACAGAAGTTGGAAAAAATTCCATTTGGAATGAAAATTAAAGCTGTGCAACTCGCGGAATTACATCCAGAGTGGTCGATCAAGTCGCTACGTTCGAAATCAACTCGATTATTAAAAGATAGATCACAATTGGCAAGATGGAAAATCAATATCGAGAAAGGTGGTACGCGATATGAGCCATCAATAATAACGTGTACGATAGATTTGTTGAAACGAGAGATCAAAGAGGACTTGTGACAACACAGATGCTGAAACAGTGGGCAATGACTGTTGCATTTCAATTTTTGAACGGCAATTTCGAATTTAATGCTTCTAATCATTGGGTAGCAAATTTTAAAAAAAAGCACAATATATCGCAACGACACGTGACAAAATACGTCAATAAAAAAGAGAGATCGACGTTTGAAGAATTGTCAGACATTGCAGCGAAGTATCAACAGCAAACAAGTAATATAATTACATATTTTGATCCGGATTATATGATAAATACCGATCAAACTGGATGTGAGTATAAGATCAGCAGTAATCGCACTCTCACTCACAAGGGTGAAAAAATGACAGAAATTGCTGTTCAGCAACTTAACAAACTCACACACTCCTATACAGCACAATACGCCATGACATTGTCAGGAAAATTATTGCCAAAAGTCTTCATCTGCCTGCAAGAAGTTACCGGAAAATTTGGTCCACGAGTTCAGAAAAAAGTCGACAAATGGATGGCAAAATATACAAACGTTTATGTCACTTCCACAAAATCTGGAAAACTGCAGAGTAACACATACGAGGAAGTTTTGGATAATATTATACAGCCTTATGTTAAAACGGAACCATTTTTGTATATTATTGATTCATGGGGTGGTCAAACATCTTCCATCTTACATCAATTAAAATTTACGGATGAAAATGGACTTCCAACGTGTACCTTATCTATAATACCACCGAAATGTACACCATTTTGTCAACCATGCGACGTTTACTTCTACCGACAAGTCAAAAATTATATAAGACGCATACAAAATGCTCCGTATCTTTTGAAGCATAATAAGGAGATCATGTCTTGATAGGATATGATAAAAATCCATTCGCTTGTACACCATCAATTGTAGGCTCCACTGTATGAAAAAATGTTAAGGTAAATAAACAATCTTTGACAATGAATAATTTTTTCCTGTAATAAAAATTTAAAGAAATGAAATATTTAAACTACAATTATATTTTTATATTATTATAGGTATGCTTGGTATGCTGCTAAACTTACGACGAAGAAAGAGTTTTTCTCCAACGTCAACGCTGTTGCATTCCCTGAGGAATTAAAGAACAAAAGATGTGAAGATTGCGAAGATTTTGAATCAGCATTTATTCAATGCTCTCATTGCCGCACATTCTTAT